GAGTAGTCCCACCTGAAGGCATGGGGCTGGGCCTTTATTCTATACATTGTCCAGTCATTGGATGAAGACTGCCCAAAAGAGAAGACATAATCTTAAGCAAGGTAGCAATCTTGGTCTGTATACTGGTCCATTCTCACACTGCTATAAAGAAATACCAAAGACTGGGTAATTTATAAAGAAAAGAGGTTTAATTGGCTCACAGTTCTGCAGGCTGTACAGGAAGCATGGCTGGGAGGCCTCAGGAAACTTACAATCATGGCAGAAGGCAAAGGGGAAGCAAGCACATTTTCACATGGCCAGACCAGGAGGAAGAGAGACAGGAGAGGTGCTACACACTTTTAAACAACCAGATCTCACAGTAACTCACTCACTATCATAAGAGCAGCAAAGGCGAAATCTGCCCCCATGATCCAATCACCTCCCACCAGGCCCCACCTCCAATGTTGGGAATTACAATTTGACATGAGATTGGGCAGACACAGACCCAAACCACATCAGTCTGCAAGCATAATTCTAGGAGAGCAACTGAGCTGAGAGCTTCAGCCACCCACTCTCTCCTAGCAGTTGGTGAGACTGGTGCCTCAGTACTGAAGAGTGATTTGGGTAGCCCACCACAGAATCCGCTACAGAAACTAGCCCAACTCCACTGGGTAGTAACAAAACAGGGTCACCATCTGTGCCAAGGGCCCCAGTTTGAAGGTCAGAACCAAGCAGTAAGAGACACTAGCTTGATCCTAACCAGACAGCAACCAGGAAGTATTCTAGGGCAGCACTGTCCCCTAAGGGGTCGAGATAGAGGGACCAGGATCTGGTGACTCAGAAGAAGAGAAGGCAGGAACTAGAAGGAGCCCTACTCCTAGATGGACTCTGGGGAGACCAAGCAAGCTACAGGATAAGAAATCAAGACAAAAACAAACACCAGCATAGCATATGGTTAGGCACTTCAGGTGCACTCCTGCCCTCCAAATATTAATATTATTGGGTCCAGTTTAGACAATGCACAAGACTCACCAGAGTCATGACCAAGCCCAAGATCCCAACACTAGGGTGAATGACTTAACTCCAGCCCTAAGGAGTACAGACTGCTTCTATTTCAACTTTAACGCACAACTAAAAGGGCTGGGGACCTGCAGATGGGATCAATGAATAGATGGAGGTTCCAGAGCTGAGGAAGCCAATGCAGTTTTTGTAATCCAATTGAAGCATTTGTTTCAATGTCTGTGGCAAAGGCACTTGGGCAAGGTGCCACCTGCATTGCATCGTCAATTTATTTAAAAACGAAACTTCAAAACTGTAAAAAGGACTGTGAAAATATAATAAATTTAAGTAGCTGCATAGTTCTACAGCCATATTTTTCACAGCTGTCACCTTTCAAGAGAGAACTCTCCACCTTACAAGTTTAACCTCATATTTGCCCAGTAATCCTAATTCTTTACCACCCATCTGGGGTGCATAGTTGTGGTGTGCCACCCTCTTTTGCTGAGACAGAAAGGGCTCTGTGCTTCCTTTATTTTCTTTGCTATATGCATAGCTTTCATTCCTTTTTTGACCCTGGGCAGCAGAGCTGCTGAACGTCCTTGCCTTAGGCATTTTTGCCCTCAGTTCTCCTTGGCTTCTGCTCTATATCAAACGATATCAACTAGACCTTTCCACAGTAGTTCACAAAATTATTGGAATACGAGTATGCCTAACTTAAAAAAAAAAAAAGGAAAGAAAAGGAAGGAGAGAAGGAGGGAGAGAGGAAGGAGAAGGAAGAAAGGTAAGCAAGCAGGTAGTCAATACATCAAAATAAAACTTTTTTATTTTCCATTTGTCTCTCTGGTACAGAGGGTTAAGCTGGTCATATTTCTTCATTTAAGTAACATTATCACTAGTCTATTCAAAGTACCTGTCTGTTTTTAGTTATTTATTTGCTCTCCTTCTCCCATTTCTGTTCCTCTCAACTCCTTAGATAACAATCCTAGTGTATGTTCATGTGCAGGAGGAGGTTAACATCTAGTGTTTTATGTACATGTATTTTAATTCTGCAAATAGTATATTATATCTCAGTAATCTCTCACTTGTTTCTCTCAGTTTCATGATTTGAAGATCTACCCATGCTATTCTATGTGCCTTTAGACTCTCACTTCTACATGCTCTCCTCTTCAATTAGGTGTGCATTGTTCAAATTTTACCTACTCCCTCATCTAGTAATGGACACCCAGGTTGCCTCCAATCCCCTAATGCCCCAATGCTGTGAAGAAAACATTTGTAAAAGATTCCTTGTGCCACTTTGAGAATTCGTTTGATAATTTCTCTCAGTGTATATACAAGCGGAATTGCAGGGTTATTAATATCATTGTTCACATTGCTAAAAGTTTCTGGCATCATGGAAAGAATTATAGATGCATCCATTAGAGAGTGGGGCACCTTCAAAGGGAGTAGATTCAGATAGTTATTAACAAGTCATAAAATTTATTAATAAATTCAGGAGACAGACCCTTGAATGCTTAGGAACTGAGACCAGCCAAAGACAAATCAGAAATGAAGATGTAACATTTCTGAAATAAAAACATAAGTCAGTAGGGAAAATGGCTTTGGATCCACAGAACTGCATTCTCTGTGTTGCTTCATAAGAACACTGTTGTGACAAGCACAGTGCGCCTGCCTAACCCCACCTCTCTCCCCATTCCCTGGCCCCCAAGCCTCTCTCTTGACCCAGTCACATCCACAAAGTCACCTGCTGTTCTTTTAGTGTCTCTTTTATAAGGGAGGCTCTATTTTTACTCTCCCCACTGCTGCCTTTCCTGCTCTGCAGCATCAACATCAATGCTGCAAAATTTCAGCTTGCACCAGGGCTGCTTCTGGTAGCCACTGGAGACTGCCGTTGCATGATCTACAGTTTCTCGCACTTCTGTCTGACCTTTGCTCCTCATCTCTCCTCCCTACATCAATCAAAAGCTCAGGCAACCTCCCAGTCAAATCTGAACCAAACTTCTCCTCTGGGAGTCACACCATGCTTCCATTTGGAGGAGGAGGCTGCCTGCTGAGAGACTCCAGCTTCTGGGCTCCATTTGCATGAATAAACAGCTCTGAAGGGTTCTGTTGAAGGTTTTATGTAAACACTCTCCAAAATATGTTCTGCACTGCATTATCCCCAGCAATAAAGATTCTGGAATCAGAATTTGGCTGTCAGTTTTATTGATGCTGCATGGGGTACAGTGGAATACAGCTTTCTCTTCTGGAAATTTATTGGTTTGGCAGTGCAGAGAGCAATAAAACTGTGTTTTTAATCAGGAAGCCAAGTGAACATGATTCGAGAAGAAATACAGAAAGCAAATATGCCATCACAAGAAGACCTGTCCCCACACTGTCCCTGTTCTTCTCAGATCCTTTGTTAAATAAATTTGAGTATTGAACAATGTGCTTGGTGGGAATGACTTCGGGAATAGAATCAGAGACCAAAGTTGGATTATTTTCTCTAGGTTGTATCATTTCTAAGAGATTGTTGAGTGAAAATGTTATTGTGAAACGAAATTTCTGAAATTCCTCTGCATTAGCACCTAGGAAGGAACAGCCGGTAAACTGCTTTGTGGAAGGAATAGAGAGAATGTGACATGCTTCCTCTCAGGAGAAGCAAGGTTACAATGCCTGTCCCTCCACCTTGTTCACCAAGACAGTGGGTTAAGAATGATATGCTTTGGCCCAGTATTTCACAGGGAATGGGTGTCTGGAGTCATTCTGCTTGGTTGTAACCTTGTTCAGTTTACTTAATCTCTTTGTGACCCAATTTCTTCTGCTATTTAAGGGAAATACCCACCTCATACCATTGTGGGTAAAATAAGGTCACAAATGGTGTATAACTCACACAGCAGCTTACACCTATAGCAAGTCCCTTCTGGGACTGTAAGAAATCTTACTTTCATCTGCCCATCATGGAGGTGTTCTTTCCTAGCAGCTTAAAACAGTCTTCGCTGCATAGACATGTTAAAAACAAGACAGCATCTCTCACCTATGTTCTCATATTCCTGACACACACTTCCCATCTGAAATATCCTTGTCCACTCCCTTCTTCTCTGCCAGTCCTTGGGCCAAAACATTAAGCTATTGTAGATGCTCAATAAATGTTGGCTGCATGTTCACCCCTGCCTTGCAGTTGCTTTCTCCTGAGTTATCTTAACCTCCAGTTCCTTTAGCATTCACACATCATCCTATGCTGGTTTTAGATTTCTGAGTGTCACTCTTTTCTCAAATCTTAAGTACAGCATAGCTTTCATTTCAATTTGAAGAATACTTAGATTGTTCCTGTGGGCATACGTGAATTCCTGAAGGAAATGATCTCATAGACATTCCCCCCAAGTGACATGAGATGCCCATGTGAGTTAACCATAGGATTAAAGTCGTCTGTTTGGGATAATATTGAAATAGGCTACCTGAGAAAGATAGTAGAGATCAAGACAGAGGCATGTTCTTAATTAATCTTCTGTTCTCCTGCCTGCATAATTTCCAATTGTATTTTCATCATTCATTTCTCCACTCTACTCAACATAGTTTTTGTCCATCTTCCCAAGTCTATAGGACCACTCTAGAACTATTTAACTATGTACTTGGTGCTGAGCCTTGTTCTTTACATGGATAATCCTGATTAATCATCACAACAACGCTGTGAAGCAGGAATTATTATCACAATTTTACAGGCAAAGAAACTGAACTGGAGGGCATAAATAACATGCTTAGAATCACATAGCCAAGTAGTGGGAGAGCGAAGATCCCCTGGCGTGTCTGATCTCAACATTCACAATCTTAACCACAAAACTATATACTCTTTGATAAAGAGCAAGAATAAGTCATGGCACATCTCTTCATTTATATGTTAGAATCCTCAGCCTGAATCCAGTTGTTGGAAATGCTGAAGTCTCTCTGTCTGTCTCACACACATACACATACACACTTAATTCATGAACTTTAAAGGCACCGAATCATAAATCTTAAACTCTTGGATTTCCTTTTTTCTTTTCTAGATCACTCGCCCACCTCCCTGTCAAAGTGATCCCATCTCAAGCTTTCAGAGGACTTAATGAGGTCATAAAAATGTAAGTTACTGCATATCAAAAGACATTCATAATTGAAATAATGAATTTTTTCTAAGAGAAAACACAGTTGAAAGGGGATAATTTTTCTAGGAGAGAAACTGTGTTTAAGATACTTGAATATTTTTTTCTTTGTAATACAAATAATAACTAGAGGTTTCTGAAGAAAAGGTATGATTTTTAAGTCATTAAAATTCAGATAATTAATAACCTTGCTTCAAAGAACTGAATGTATTTTATAAGTGATAATATACCTTTTAGCAGAAAAAAAGATAGATTCCAATCATAAAAAGTCTCCTTCTGCTAGAGCATCTATTCTCTTGTGTCACATTTTTAGATAACACCCACATAGAAAAAAAATGTGTTAGAAGTTTATTGTGCATCAGAAGATAATCTTTATATCTAAAATATGAGTATATGACAAAACACAATATTTATAACTATATCGATGAAAGGCACTTATCAAAAGTGTAAAGCACCCCGATAATGCCATATGATCTCATGTTTATCAGATGTAACTTCGATCATTTGCCCCTGGGTTTCAGCTTCTAGGACCAAAGTTCCCATGCTTGGAGAGAAAATGTTCTCAAGAGCCCACTATTCCAGCATCTTTCTTAATATTAGCCTGAGTCAAAGGACCTCATGGCCATTGAGTTCTTACAGTGCATCTCTAAGCTTAATCCACTGGACTTTGGAAGCAGATTTGCACTTCTAAAGAAGATGCTACACTATCAATCCTAGCTCCTTGTGGAACCTCTATTGCCCTTTAGGGTATTGGTAAGCAATTAGAATATTTAAAATAATTCTTCAAGAATTAGTGCATATTATAGGAAATTCACTGCAGGTTACAGACATGTCAGTTTACTTGAGCCTAACGCATGCTCTTCTGCTCTCACGTTGGAATGTTGAGTTTTGATAACTTTTAATACATTAAGACCTCCTACTGAGAAAAGCAGCTACAGTTAAATAAGCAAACCATTAGGCAGGAATAAGATGAACCAGCCCAAGGGCAGTCCATTCCTGTGTTGTTCAAAAAAGACGTTAGCTATCTTAGGCTCTGCCTTTCTGTGGGCTAATGCTCTCATCAAGTCTGAAGTCTTCAGTGAGTCTTAACCTTAGAAATAAGCAAATGTACACTTTGTGAGTTTGAGACATTTTTCTCAACTGGCAGGAAATGGTAGCTTATGTTGGGATTTGACGGAAACACTGACATTACCTACATGCTTGCAAATCGTAATAACAAAGCTGGTTCCTTTATTTTTGTGTCTTTTTCAAAAACATCAATTATTCATTACTCCATTCACTTATTCATTCATTCATTTGTACTTTTAACTCTGTGTCAAGCAATATGAAGCCACCAGGGATTCAGAAGTGAATAGAATATACTCCCTGTCCTCAATTTGCTCACAGGTGAGAAAAACAAACAAGGAAGTAGATCATTATAATTCATGATGGATATCACGTGCGGGAGTTGACTACCTTGCAATAGCCTCAGCACAAGATTTTGAGAAACAAAGGGTTAAGAGTTTGAAACAATTCAACCCATATTAAAGCTTTACTAGCGTGACAGAATTAAGACCCAGAGATCCACATCCTAGTCTTGAACCTTAATATAAATACTATTTGCCTCTCCTCCCAGGGCCTTAATTTCCAGAGCTATAAAACAAGGGAATCTGACTAGATTTTCTCAAAGGGCCTATGCAAGTCTAACAATCTGTGGCTCTGAGTCAGAGATAAATAAGAGAAAAACCTGTCACATAAACAGGGGTACTAAAACTTGCATTTCAACTACACCTGGGTTGCAGGTGCCCATCAGTGCCCCTAAAGGGAGATGTTAGCACTCTATGATGTGAGGACAATTTGTACATCCCTGTTTTTCTCAGGGGGACACAGTGGAGTCCCCAGTTGTTGGGTCACATACACAGCTCATCATCATGCAGACGCAGTCATTTCTTTCATGTTTCTTTCTCTTTTCTCCCTCCCTCTCTTCCCTAGTGAAATCTCTCAGAGTGATTCCCTGGAAAGGATAGAAGCTAATGCCTTTGACAACCTCCTCAATTTGTCTGAAATGTAAGCATCAGCTAATAGACAGTTTATTGCTGTACACTATTACCCTTGCTGGCTGGAGCCCCCTTGGTATTTGTATTCAAGCATCCACTGCTTGGAATCCAAGAGGAAAAGACTACAGCAATTACTAGGTTGGGGCAGGCACTAATTTTTCTCACCGCAGTGGCCTGTAGGTTGCTATGGTGACAACTGCTTCTCCCTGGGAGCTGTATAAACTCTGAAACATCACAACACAAAGATAGAAATCAAAATTGACACTGTGAAGTCCTGCCAAGTAGCTCTTGCCTATGGAATGGAGGGTATGGTGTACTTGGGATAGTGGAAAACTTTGGAAAAGAGCTTAGAGATCACAAATTGGTTCATTGGGGGCTGTCTGGGTACATTCACTCATTCAGTAAACGTTCCTTGAATACCTACAATGTAAAAGCTGTGTAACAGGCATGTGTATGTTAGGCTCGTTGGGTTTTGCTGTTGTTATTGTGATGTTTTGGAACAACCCTTGCCAAAGTCTCATTTTTCCCCCAAATCACAAAAAGGATAGGAAAAGACACTCAATTCAGTTTTTTCAAGTGATAAATCTGTGGCCTAAAGAGGTCACAGATTAACTAACTTGCCTGACATCACACAGCAAGTTAGGGCCAAAGATGGAATTAGAAATCAAATCATGTGACTTCCAAACCAGGCCTCCTACTGCTGCTTTGTGTGGTCCAAACCTGAGCTTCCAGAAGAGCACTCAGACTTCACCTACTTTGGAGTTTCAAAAGTAAGGGAAGGGGAAAAGCACCAAACATTTTTTGAGCTCTTGTGCTTGCCATTTATTCTATGTTATGTCATTTAATCCTCACAGCTACCATGCAGAGTGGAGGTAATTATCCCTTTTGTTCAGGGGAAGTAATGGAGGCTTTGAAAGGCACAGAAACTTGACCAGTGTGACACTGTAAACCAGGGGTATCCAGTCTTTTGTCTTGGGTCACACATGACATACACTTATACTAACAATAGCTGACGAGCAGGAAAAAAAAAAAAAACCCTCATAATGTTTTAAGAAAGTTTACAAACTTGTGTTGGGTCTCATTCAAAGCCATCCTGGGCCACATGTGGCACACAGGCTGTGGGTTGGACAAGATTGTTTTAGACCATGGCAGGACTGGGATCCAATACCAGGCTGTCTTTCTTCAAAGCTCCTGCATTTTCCACTATACCAAAAGGCCCCCCTATAAATGATCCAATGAATAATTACCTAAAGAGAATAAATAATTGGTAAGTACATGAGCAACTACCATGTGTCCAATACAAGGCCAAATGCTACTAGAATACAGAGGAGGTAAAATATAAATGTCTACCGTGAGATAACAGTGTAGCCAGGGAAGTAAGACTACTCACCAATTACAGAGAAATCCAAAATAATGAGTAAGTGCAAAAACATAGTCTGGACTTAGCTGAGAGGCAGAATCACTCATGGGGCTCATTACAATTGTAGATGACAGTCCTGTCCCAGACCTGGAAAGCTGCAGTTTTAACAGACTTACCAGTTAATGCTAAAACGCAACTTATATTGAGAACCACCAGGACAGCAAATGATAAATAAAGCTTCTCGTGACGCAAAGCAACATTTATCAACAGAAAGAAACATGAAGCACTCTCATGAAAAGTTTATGGATTCCCAAAGAAGGCCCTAAAACTAGCATGCCAGCACCATGAAGGCTCTTTTTGCTTTGTTCACAGCTGTATTCCCGGCATGTAGAACAATGCTTGCCACATGTGGTGCCGAATAAATGTTTGTTAAATGAATGAATGACTGGGCTAGGGTCAGGCCTCAAAAGTCTTTTATTAAATTTCATTTAATTT